AAAAAACCCACAAGAACTGAGAAAATATTTCTTGCTAAAGAAGAAAAACTTTGCAAATACTGTTTATATCCTGAACATCACATTAAAACCTGGCTGTTCTGCATAAGACTTGGAAATTCAATCTGTCAAATTGTTATTCATATTGTTTTAACATGCTTGACATTGCATTAGATTGTTTTAAAGTGACCCAATCCTGAGATCCCTTGCTATAGAATGTGTTGCTGTTGTTAATTTCCACCAAGTTGGCTTTGTCTTATAGCAACTGTGTGGATGAGATACCATGTCAATAACAGCCTTATTCTAATATTGCAAGTCTGAGGTGTGTCTTCTGTATGGATTCAATGTGGTCAGTTCCTTCAGGCAATCTGGCTTTTTCGGCTGGCTGTAATGGTAAGGGCTCAGCCGCCATGTTTTTTTCAGCTGAAATGGGTTACACGGCAGCTGGTTACAGCCCCTCCTTTTCTATTTGGCATCACGCAGCACATGAAAAGGCTGCCGCATGCTCGCACAAGGTTTCCCTGTGAGCCCTGCCTGGTTGGAATAGAAGAACACTGTGCCCCATGCTTCCTTGAAAGGAAGAAAGTGGTGCCAAACTGCATTACTTGACCCACAGGAAGGGTTAATTCCATTCTTCATACCCAGACCCCCTTGAAAGGAAGAAAGGAAGGAATCCCAGGACCAGAAAGGGGAGTCTTGTAAATACCCCATTGCTGCCAATTGGCCGGATCTTCCTGGATCTTTCGGCTGCCTAACCAAAAACATTTTCCTACTAATCGATTTTCAGGAGGCTCCTGAAAACAGATCTGGGTACCCCAAAAAATTTGATTACCAAATATGGATTGCCCTCCAGCTGAATTGCACAAGCCTAGTGTCATTGAATCAATCTGCCTGTCATGCAGTCCTCTTTTCAACTGCCTCCTAATCTACCAATCATTATCATCTTTTCTAAAATGTTGTGTCATCCCATGATATTTCCAAATCTCAATATATTCAGTTTAGTCATTTAGCAAAAAAAAAATCCCCAAGTTATGAACAAGATGGGTTCTGTAGATTTGTTCTTATGTTGAATTTGTATGTAAGTCAGAACAGGAACATTTTTAATTGTAACTCCAGTCAAATATATATACATAATAGTTTTGGATAGCATAGGGAAAGGGTATTACAAATTTTGAATTTTTAGCATTTCCTCCTGAGCTTTGTCCAAAATACTTGATCTGGTCATTGTACTGCTTACAGACCTGCCATACATTCACATCCTTCCTGCTTCTGTGTTATTGCCAAGGCACATACATCAACAAATGAAAATAAACAAGCTTGATGTTATTAAATTCACAGTTGATAGAACATTCTTAATGATATAAGACTTACCAGACTCTAAATGTGCTTATTTATCAAAATGGCTTGTTTGTGTTAGGGGTAATTAATGCATTGAACATGATTAAAAAGAGGAAAACATCTGTAAACAGCACCTATTTGGGAATTCATTTCCAAAATCCACATAAATAAACTGCAGCTCAGGAAACATGAGAGACAGTATAGGCTGAAGAAGACAAACAAGAATGGAACAGATATCAAAAACTCTTTTTTATTCTTGAGTGCACTCTACATGAGGAAAATCCTAGGTATCCACAATTCCCAAATCCAGACCAATAATATAAACCTGTTTATGCTAGTCCTCCCCAATCAGATTCTTGGCCTATAATTCCAACATGTTCAAGATTACAGGAGTTGTGGGACAACACATCAGGAAACAATGTGACCCACAAACAGCAACCAAATTAGGTGACACCCCACTCACACACACCCATCTCAAGCAACTTTAAAGGGAACTACCAAGGTCTGAGGTCAGGGTTCCAGGTATTATCCTTGACATGGGCCTACATCCCTCTCTTATAAATGTGATACTCCTTGGTAGAGTGACTCAAGACAGTTCCTGACTCTTCTACATAAGTGTTTGAGTTCAGTCGTTCATACCATCTACAACTGTGGTTCTCAACCTGTGGGTCCCCAGATGGTTTGGCCTTCAACTCCCAGAAATTCTATCAGCTGGTAAACTGACTGGGATTTCTGGGAGTTGTAGGCCAAAACACCTGGGGACCCACAGGTTGAGAACCACTGATCTAAGAAGTCATGATCTAAGCAGTCACGAGTTTATCTAATAGCTGCCTAGATGTTTTGTTTACCCAGACAGACCAGAGAAAACCATCTCTCTGTGTGTGTATTGCTTCATTATGGCCCAAACTGCTTTCTGACCTTTCTAGCATTTAATTAGCATGGTGTTCTCTCTCAGATGTTCACTAGCTGAGATGACTGAAGGTCAGGCTCCTACAGGGGAACACTAAAAGAAAAACAAACATGTTTGGCCTAAACTGACACATGAAAATATTTCTCTCCACAACAACTTGAATCACTAGAGCTATGGATGTAGAAAGTGGCATTCTCTTGACCCTAACATGAGGCCTATATTTAATAGTTGTTTTTGGACAATGAAATAATTGTTACCTTCTTTCTAAACTATTCAAGATAATATGATCAAAGCAAGGGAAGAATGCACAGGTCACTATTATAGAAATGTTCTGTTGCTTTTATACTGAGTGGCCAACTAAGTGAAGAGACAAGTGTGATTGAACACAGCTGCAGCAATCCTATACAACTCAACTCAGTACAGCATGGTACAGGTGAAGCACCCTTTATTTAAAATCTGAAAATCGGAAATTGCCCATTCATATGGATAATTGTCCATCCACCCCCTGCCATTTTCCATCTACTTATGAAATTTGGAAGCATTGCTTTTTGGACTCTAACATTATCCTTTGTTTTTTGTTTTGTTTTGTTTTGTTTTTTGTTTTTTGTTGTTGCTTTATAGATTAATATGTGCTCAACTGCCGAACCCAGTACTGGAGAGCATCAGCATTATCGATACTCCAGGAATTCTTTCTGGGGAGAAACAAAGAACTAGCCGAGGTAAAGTCAAGGAGCTGTTTCTCATAATTACTTGACTTAAATCTTGTTTCAAAAGTTATAGCAAGTCAGACAGATATTTGTTTCATTGTTGCCTGATTTCTAGTCATTTCCAACTTATGGTGACCCTAAAATGAACTCATTATGGGATTTTCTTGGCAAGAGATGTTCAGAGAGGTTTTTTATTTCCTCTGAAATGAGAGAATGTGACTTCCTCGGGGTCACCTACAACCATATCAGATGGTGGTAGAATCAGTGGCATGCTCCACTTTATCTTCCCTTTAAGCACAGAGCCAGCTGGCTCCCATTACATGATGCACAGGTACTTTCCAGCAGTGTTCCATGCTTAAAGGGAAGGGCAAGTGGAGCATGCCACTGCTGTAGCAACATAGAGGTTTCCTGTGTTCCGCCAGGAACAAGGGGCAGGAGAGCTGGGTGGTTGACACTTTCCCCCTTGGAATAATGACTCGGGTAAGTCAGGCGATGTGGGACATGGGGCGACGTGCACTACCAGAATCGCCATGATACATGGCAATTCCTGTGTCCTTTGAAATGAGGTCCTTAGTGGGTTCCCATGGCCAAACAGGAATTCAAAGCCTAGCCTGCATAGTCCAATGTGCAACCCACTACACTACACTGGCTCTCAAGTATTTGTAGGCTGAGCATGCTTGTAGGCTGAGCATGCTGAGCATGCTCTATAGGTCTGATTGCTATATTGGCTGCTAACAAAGATATGCAAGAAGTCTACCCACGTGGACTATTTATGAAGACTACTCCATACTATTCACATTATCTCAGCCTTAGAGAAAAACAAAGGCAAAAGCTCCTCTGAATAAACCTTGCCCAAAAAAACCCCCTCATTTCAGAAAGGGTTTGAGGGCACACAGCAGCAAGAATTCCGACCTACAATTCCAGGGCTGGATTTAGACCAAATATACTGCATTTCTGGAATTGTACATCACTTACAATTACAATTATTACAATTATTTGCAGCTATATGTGATAAAATACATACATTTAGGGTTGCCAGATTTCAGGGCCTGGTCCATCTTCTGAAAGTGAGTAAAGAAATGTCAAGTTGAGAGTGTAGCTCTGAAAGGAAATGCATTTGTTTCTCATTTGTTAGATTTGATGGCTGTTAAAATAAATTGAAATGTGTACTTTGAGCAACTGATATTGATGCTTAATATACTATGGTTAATGACATCACTTAAGGCTGTCCTTTGCTACATCACCCTTCTAATATTACCAGGATCCACCCTTGTGACATTCACATGGAATCATCTCTGGGTCATGAGTCCAGGCCCTGATATTTCAGAGCTTAGAATAAACCTGATCTGTCTATTTGACATACATTTCAACACACATAGAAAAATCTGCACATTTCAAAACTCTGGTTTGTTTTATAGAATGGGGCAATTTATACCAGCAATTTGTGTTGTCTTATAAAAATGAGATATATAATAATTTTTGGATTTTGTTTAAAACATGGATAGAAGCAGGCATTATAATGCACTTCAAAGTCAGCTGTTCTACACAGACACTAGAATGCATTTTGAAGCCAGCTCAAGAATATGGAGTCTACAAAGCATACACTCTCAGTGTTATGTAGCACACATTAAGTCTAAAGCAGTGCAATAAAAAAAATCCGGAAAGTCTAGAATAAGCCACAAAAAGCTGCAGCCAATCCTGTAGGACTGAAATCTGGGACCAGAAAATGTGCAGAACTTGTCGGGACAGGGCTAGCATTGACTCGTTTTAGAAAGCTGGAAAGAAAGCTAGACGAACAGTAAAAGCACCATCACCACCCCAGAGAGAGGAAACCACACTGTTTAACACCAACATATAATTGTTGGCTCCAGAAAGAATACAAATGCAATGCTGGCGAAAGTTGATGAATTTGAAAATGCTTGTGTTAGGTAGAACATTCACACTATTCTATTTCTATGAAAATACTATTTAGATTTCTAATGATTGCATATAGCACTTACAGTAGTTATGTTTCCCCAAGCTACAATAGCTCAGCAATTTTGGGTCCAGATCTTTGTGTGAGCATACATTATCATGAGTATTGTCTCTGCTGTTATGGAAATCTCACATTTCTTTTCCCAATAGGTTATGATTTTGCTGCTGTCCTGGAATGGTTTGCAGAGAGGGTTGACCGCATCATTCTTCTTTTTGATGCTCACAAGTTAGATATTTCAGATGAATTTTCAGAGGTCATCAAAGCTCTGAAAAACCATGAGGATAAAATGAGGGTAGTACTCAACAAAGCAGACCAAATTGAGACCCAACAGCTCATGAGAGTTTATGGTGCTCTGATGTGGTCTCTAGGGAAGATTGTCAATACACCTGAGGTGCTCAGGGTCTACATTGGGTCCTTCTGGTCACACCCATTGCTTATCCCGGATAATCGGAAGCTCTTTGAGGCTGAGGCGCAGGACCTCTTCAGAGATATCCAAAGCTTGCCTCGCAATGCAGCCCTTCGGAAATTAAATGATCTCATTAAACGAGCACGGCTAGCTAAGGTGAGTCTCTCTGGTGGCTTTCCCTTGATGGATTATTATTGACTCCTACATTACTTTATATTCTGAGGAAGCAGTTCTGCTTACTGTACAGTCTAATGAGGTTTACTTGCCCGTGGTTATAACACCTTCCAAGTAGAATGACCTCATTTCGATAATGTGGTTCTCAGTGGGTGATGTTTCTACCAAGTTATATGAAAGAAGGTGTCCCCAATTTTTAATATCTCCAAGGGAGGACTTTCTATTAGTCCCATCACCCGAACAGGTATGGTAAATGAGGACCTGGGAGTAGCTGCTCCCAGATTATGGAACTCCATCCCAAAGGAGGCTCGGTTGCCCCCCATCCCTGTTCTCCTTTATCAAGCTTTCCATTTTTAACCAGTTTGGATAGTGCAATCAGTAAATTTTACTGTGCTTTAATTGTTTTAAACTAGTATTTTATGTGGCTTTATTTAATGCTTTTTTAAAAAAACATGTATTTCAAAATGTTTATAATTATATTGCTTCAATGTAGGATGCAAGCTGCCTAGGACCTCTTAAAGGAGAAAAGTGGGATATTAAATAAACAAACAAACAGCACCATCAACTCCCTCTAACACTGCCTGTCACCCCTGATTATTTTTAATTAAACAATTTACTACTTTATTGCTTGTTTAATGTACTCATCAATTTTGTTGACTTAAACTGTTTTTCTATTGCAAAACCTTTTAATTCTTTACATAGGAAAACATAGTTTTTAAAATTCATACTACATACGCACACATGTGTATAAAATCAAACACAAAGGGATGGCTATTTCCTGGACAATAGGTCAGACCTAATCTTACAAAAATGTGAACATAAATTCTAAAGCTTAATGGAATCCTACTTGTCCAATCATAGGTGTGTCATAATTGTGTAAACTCAGCTGCCAAACAGGACATATCAGTGTATGTGGATTCCTAGTTAAACCGGTACATGTTCCAGGATGCTTTCCCTTGTTAAGTATGAAGCTAGATTTGGTAAAAGGAGATAATTGTGAAAGCATAAGATAAGCAAACAAATATCCATGCCTACATATGAATATGAAACAGAATTGTTATTTGCATTTGTCATGGGTTTCCTTCTTCCTTCAACAGTAATTCTAGAGTTGCAATCAACAAGGGATTTATGAGGAGATCAAGGACATCTTCACATTGATGAGGTCCCCCACAACAATTTGCCAGCTTCTGTGGCAAATTGGCAGGCACCAGGGCAATCCCAGTGCCCCATATCCCACTTTTCTGGCAGCAACACTTCCCCATCACACATGGGGAAGCATTGCCAGATGGCTTCCCCCTGTGCTGGCCCCATGGTTTCAAATGGAACACAGGAAGCCTTCCGTGTCCTCGGCACAGTGTCATTGGATGCTTGCACCCTTGCTGAGCTATGGAGCCCCGGTAGAAGTGAGCCTACATTGTCTGATGGGCAGCGTGGGGCTCTGTGGCTCAACGGGGGCAGAAACATCCTACAACAATGAAAAATAGTTGTGTGATGAAGTCAAAAGACTGGCTTGGAAAATGGATGCTGAATTACATACACCAGGAATTGAGGGGTACATATTTATTTCCTGGGATTTTGAGGGTTTTTCCCATGGTCTCACTTTCCCATTATGTGTGTGTAATATGTTATTAACATTATTTGTGGCCTTGGGTTTGTTTGTTTTCAAAACCAGAAGTGACAAGGAAATCATTTTTCATTGAGGGGGAGACTGGGCGGAGCATGCAAGTTTGCTGAGCAGTCTGCTGAAAGCTCCTCCGTCAAAGTAAGTTAAAATAACTCACCTGGAGGATTAATCCGATTGGGAAAAGACTTAAAGATTAGTTAATATGTCAAGAAACAAAACGTAACATCTTCCTACTAATTAAAGAAAAAGAAAAGCCTGGGAAACAGCGAAAGACTGATTAGATATCTCCAGTTTCCTGTTGAGGCAGCGTGTGGTGCCATTTTGTTGAACTACAGCAGCAGAGCGTTTGGATAAAAGAAAAACAGAAACAAACAGCTGAGCAGAGGTGGGAGTGCCGCTCGTTAACTGTTTTACTGTTTTATCCACTGGAATATAAATCATCTAGAGATGGCCTCAGAAGCCTCTGAAGCTCCAATTTCCACAGTTAACACAGGAGAAAAGCTTGACCTTCTGGTGGAAATGATTAAAGGGCTCAAAAGCTCAATGGAGCATTTATCTCTCGAAGTTAGAGAGACAAGAGAAAAGATGAGCGAAATAGTATCTAAGGAGGAAAAAAATCAAGCTAGGATCCAGTCACTAGAATTGGAAGTTAATTATTGGAAATCAAGGGTGGTGGATCTAGAAAACCATTCCAAACGCAGAAATTTTTGTTTACAAGGAATCCCTGAATATGTAAAAGACAAAGACTTGATTAACTCTCTGTGTGAGTGGTGGAACCAATGGGACATACCAGCTGGAGAAGAAGATATAGATAGAGCATACTGACTTTATCCTCAAAAGAGAGGGGGAAAGAATCACAAAGGTCCCACACCAAGAGTGGTAACAGTGACATTTGTTAAAGCATCAACATGCTTACAGGTTTTCAAAGCCTTGAGGAGCGTGAATGATCTGCAGTTTAATAGTAATAAAATCACAGTTTTCCAGGACTTAGCAAGAGCTACAAGGGAGGAGAGAGCCTCCCTCAAGCCTATAACGGATAGACTCAGATCAGCAGACATCAAATACACATGGGCCTTTCCAGCAACACTAATCATTTTCAGAGAGGGGAAAAAGCATACTGCAAAGTCTATAGAAGAAGGGGAAAGGCTTCTGAAAAACTTAAACCTGACTCAACCTCCCCAGAGGAAATCGTCAAGAGAAACAGGCGTCCCAATAGATGAAGAAAATGTGTCTGAAACAGAGGAAGAGCAACCAAGAGAAGATCATCCAACTAAAGAAGAAACCACAAGGAAAAGACATGGGAAACTTCGATCAAAGACCTATAGAATCCCTAACAGAAGAAATTATAGATAACTATACATAATAGATTGTCTCTATAGCTGGGTTTAAAGAAATGCTTATTGGTACTGCCAAACACATTCTGTAAAGATTTACAACCAGCAAAGATAGGAATATTTTT